CTTGGCCACCCAGGGGGCGGAGGGAACCCCCACCGGGCGGGTGTAATCAAAACCCCCTGCTCGGGCAGGGGTAAAGCAGCACCGGCAGCCTGTCGACCAAGAGCAAGGTAAACACCCCGGCAGGGGAAAGCCGGGGGTGGGGAAAGGAAGCAGCCCAGGGCAGAGCCCAGTTGGGCTGGTGCGTTACGGCAGGACCCCCCGTCAGCCGGACCGGAGCGAGACAGTTCCGTGTCCTTAGGGCCCTGGGCTGGGGCCCGTGAGTGAGGGCAGACCCGGGCCCCCCTTTCCTCCACCCCGCGGTGGGAGTGAGAAGCAAACCGAAAGAAAAATTACCTCGGCGCCCTGCAACGAGGGCTTACAGGTGGCAGCCAGGCTGTCTCCCACCCCGCCGGAGCCTGGGGGGGGAGGGACTGAAGGTACCGGCTGAAGAGACTGGTACACATATTCATTAAGCAAATGATGAATATGCAAATAAATTGTTTCTGGTCCTCCCAAAGCCCCCAGTGCTAACAGGAGCAGGCCTAGTCGACTGCCCTGGGTGGTTTCCCAGCCCAAACCCGAAGTATCTACTTCACTCCCATTTGGGACCGGTAAAGTTAGATGGTCCCTCTCAAGCCTGCTGGGTGACTTGGCTCATATGGGCCCTGGAGGTTGGGTGAGTAGCCCGGCAGGTTGTTCTACCCACCCCCCCTCCTGGGCCCAATGCCATCTGCTTTATTGGGTGTTCTGCTTCAGTGTTCACGGCGCTCGGTCTTCTCCCTGGGTCCTAGCGCCCACCAGATCTAGCCCCGCCACCTGGGAGCATGCCCGGCAGAGAGGCCGTGGTGGCGGGCTTTCTTCCAATAATCGTGTGTAAAAAATTTTCTGAGGACTGGTATTTTTTTCTAAGGAATGGTACTGGGCCGCGGACCACACTTTGGGAATGCTGCTATAGAGAAATGTTACCTACATTTCAAGGTGGCAGTGTGTATTGTACCCACCCTTAGAATATCCAACTCCATCTATTCTATAGGCACAATTTGTTTTCCTCAGGGTGAGTGCCAACGTCAAGAATAAAGGTAAAAAGAGTAAAGGTTGGTTAGCTTTCTCTCTTTCCAGTTCCCTTTATTCTCCTTACAAACAAGCGGGCACATTATTAAAATTGGCCATACTGTGCAGTAAATAGCTTTATCATCATCAATCATAATAATACTGTTGTTCAGTGTTTACATGATTTTTTTCTGTTTGAAACATTTGCTTTCTGCATCAAGTAGCACAGATCAAGATGATTCCAAGTTTCATAAAAAGCTAGCATCCACTCACTTAAATGCAGACTTTCTCCCAGAAGGCATTCACTCACTACAGTCATTGAAGTGTATTGAATTTTATGTACCATAAGAAATATGTATTTCACGGGGTAAATTCGGGTTGCTGACCTTTGTAATAAATACGCCTTGAATCCAGAATTTGCCATGCAATTAGCTGGACAACTGTTTCAGATTAAGGCTATGTGATGCTACCAAGTACGCAAGTGTGCTATTATTGACAGAATGTCTACATAGCAGCCTGAGTAAAATGAGGCACTCTTGGGGTTGTCTAGACTACATGCCTCTGCCGACAGAGGCATGTAAATTAGACATACTGACACAGTCAATGAAGCGGGGATTTAAATAACCCCCACTACATTAAAATAAAAATGGCCACCGTGTTGTGCTGGTTCAGCTGTTGGTCAGCACAAAGAGGCAGTCAAGGTGGGGGATCGGTCGGCAAAGGCTTTCCTTGCCAACCAATCCCCGTCTTGACTGCTGCATTGTGCCAACAAACAGTTGAGCAAGCACAATGCAGCAGCCATTTTTATTCTAACGAAGCGGGGTATATTTAAATCCCTGCTTCATTAATTATGTCGGTATGTCTAATTTACATGCCTCTGTCAGCAGAGACACGTAGTCTAGACATACCCTTGAAGGTTAAAATGTTATTGTTATTGTTATAATGTTATATTATAATGTAATGTTATTGTTATAATGGCACATCCCAGGAAATCTTCGTTTTTTAAAATGTTGGGTTTAGATCTTCAGCAAGTCTACATAATTGACATGGCTCCATTGAAGTTGATGGATTTATGCCAATTTACATCAGTCATGGATGTGATCCAACATCACTAAAAATCCAGGTTTGATTTTTCAAATAATTCCTTGTGCAAGTTTCACCCTGCTGTATTTCTGTCAAGAGCATGAGTTTTAAATGACCCTTTACTGCAATTAACAAAGCCCAAGTGTCTATCAGTGGCTATTAGCTTCAAAACAAAGTGAAAACATTCAGGTGGACAAAAATATATTACCAAATATGAAAAAAAATTGCCAATAAAGGATAGGAAGGACTCCATGGCACCAGAAACTTACACACCCATAAGTTAGACACGTCAGATAGAAATATTCACTGTCCTACTAAGTGAATTGCTAAGAAACTAGCAATTTCAATAATCATATAGGCCCCCTTCTCATTCTCTTGATAAAGCAAGGTTATCAGTAAACAGCTGAGTTTTGTGCCAGATATCTATAATTTCTGAAGAAAGGAAAGAAAAACAGAGAGAATAAGTGCACACAAAATGGATCAGTCAGCTCTTTGATGAAGAAAAGTCTAAGAGTGACAAGCGGGAAAAAACATAAGAACAGCCACATTGGATCAGACCAAAGGTCCATCTGTATCTTGTCTTCTGACAAAGGCCAGGACCAGGTGCCCCAAAGGGAATAAACAGAACAGGTAACTACTAAGTCAGGGGTGGCCAACCCGTGACTTGCGAGCCACATGCGGCTCTTCAAAGAAAAAATTGCGGCTCCCACACCTGTGGCTCATGGCTCTGAAAGGGGCAGCATGTTTCTGTCTGAAAGAGACAGAGCTGGAGTCATGGCTAGAGTTGCCAGGTTTTGAACCGGACAGTCCAGTATTCGAGCTTTCTGTTCGGGAAACAAATTGAGAAAATATAAATGTCCAGTATTTTCTAAATAAGATGTAATGTAGATTGTGAAGTAATGTCAAGTGTGTCCGATATTTTTGTTGAAACCATTTGGCAACTCTAGTTGCAGTGTATGGTGCAGACTTCAAAATGGTCACCTTCAAAATGGATG